TTAGGTAATTATATTGAAATTATTCCTAAATAATAAATAGAATTAAATTTCCTTGTATCAAAATCTAACGTATATTTCTATTTTGAAGTGCGGCCCTGGACTATTGTTTATAGGGCTGAGGTGGCCCTCTGTACAAGTTGAGTTTGACATGCCTGGACCAGACCATCTGATTCATTGCGATCCAGAATGTCCCGCTTCCTTCGGACAGTTGAAGGCCGTGCTGGGATGGTGCACACGCACACACGCACGCTGTGTGTTTGTAAGTCAACGATGAAAATTACGGCGACGCTGTGAAATTTCGACGCTTTCACAGAATTTGTACTTCACTAAATTGGGTCTTTACAAAATTGAAATGAAACAATATAGCAATTAGAAACCTTTGCGAGAGAAAAGTAGGCTTTAAGAGTTCTGCTTGGAATTTTCAATTTAAAGTGTTATTTTTTTTTATAAACAATTGGGAGATGATGGATATGAGCACTGCAACTGCCGAGTACCCCGCGTACTTTACAGTCTTATTGGTGTGAAATATTCATTTCGAACATTCTTTTATTTCCGACATTGCTGTGTTCACGGCTGCACTGTAACATAATGAGTGGATGTACTACAGTCTTCTCGGGTGTTATGACATCGGTCTTGATAATGGAACCAGAGAATATATCAGTCTCTGGTTTCTAACTCAACATTGACTCGACTCATCGCCGTATAAGGCGAATAGAATGTCGCGGTAAAGCCTTCGAAATGTATTCGGAAGGAACCTGGTTTGAATATAGACCGGACAAATTACGATCCTTGCAATGAATTTTAGTGGTTTCCTCATTATCTTTAAAACAATCTCCTTTTTCAAAATCCTTACCTGTTCACCATTTATGACGATTCTTGCATCACATTCAGCGGTACGTAATGCTACGATTCTGTCTTGTTACAGGTAAAGAGTTACTCGAGCATTTTGTGCCCAACAGAGACCTTGCGGCACCGCAAGACCTTCTGGACACGGCGGACAGAGTTGAGCGCCTGCTTGAGATCATACACGGCAAAGAGGCGCTGATTGAAGAGGCCTGGCTGGCTATGGAGAAGAGTTTCGTGGACGCCAAGGAGATCAGCAGTCTTGAGGAGGGCGTCAGTCGGGTCACCAACTGGATCCTCGGTCCAGCAGAGATGATGCTGAATGGTCAGCAGGAAGTGGGCTTTGACGTCATTTCTGCTGAAGAACTGAGGCAAGAGCACGAAACTATGGAGCTTCAATGTAGGGTACGTTTTGGCAGAATGGGTTTCGAATGAATAGAAACGTTAAGAATACCAAACAGAATTTGTTCCTAAAAGAAAAGGATACAGACTACTGCCATGTCTATCGCAAACTACTGTAACTACCAAAAACTCTTATTAACACAACACAATAATACCCCAAACAGCTCTGCTGTCAGCACACACTCTTTTTACCATCACAAGGAATTACTACTGCTAACACAAATGGATAATACAACCACAAACTACTTCTACTGTCACAAACTACTACTACTATAACTGCTGCTACTGCTGATGCACACTACTGCCAAAAACTATCAGACACAACTACTACCATCAGAAAAATAGTACTAATGCGAACTATCACTACTACAAACTATATCCAACCCCACCACCATTACTACTACTACTACTACTGCTGCTGCTGCTGCTGCTGCTTTTCAGAGACTTGCTTGACAGTAGTAGGCCTGAATATATTTGAAAATGTTTCCCACCGCCCCAGACTTCTACTTATTCCCCTTCCTACATCCACCTGTCCAGAAAGAGATCGCTCCTCTAAAGACCAACTTCCTGCCTTAGTTTCTATTCACCGTCGCTTGACGTGTCCTAGCGACCAGTGGACTGTAAGTATCGGCTGGCGGCAACGCGGTTTCACCGCGCCTTCCTTAGTTTCCTACTAAAAGCCTAAAGAACGCAATGCCTGTAGCCCTGTAACTAATGAAACCTGTGTCTCTCAATTGGAGGCACTTCTTGACTAGAATTGCTCTTTAAAGCATCCAGCATCCTGTTCAGTTGATACCGGAAGGAAGAAGGGAGGATATCTGTCACGTAGTGACGACGTTACAAAAGCATCCACGATCTCTTTAACTTTACCTTTTGGGCTGATGTATCTAAAGGAAGCGGCTGTCTACATACTGGATATTTGGAGTTTCCTCACAGGCGTGGGGAATTAATGCCTATGTTGCCTTCAGGGTAATGGCAGCCGAAGAGTCAAGCTGATGATTTGAACCATAGAGCATCGAGTTCAAGGCTGTCACTTCCTGTCTCTCTCATGCCTAAGTAATGAAGGACACGTTAGTTTATAGGGGTGATTTTTTAAAACAGAAGTGTAGAAAATAACGAACTTCTTGGAATAGGGTTCTTCATCAGAAGCTGATACCTGATAAACGGTAAGAAGGTCTATTACTGTGCTCAAAAGAACCTTGCCAGTCTAACCTATTTTCAGACGTCATTCTGTTTCCTTAATATTCATCTTAATATTATCTTTCTGTCTGTGGCTGTCTCCCAAGGAGTATCTTCTCTTCAGTTTTCCGGCCAAATAGACTGGTCTGGAGGTAACGCTATAGATTTTAATTCGCTAGGTATTCGGTTCGAATCTCGACAGGGACACAGGCTGTCCTGACTGATGCTTTTCGTAGTACCGCCTGGCAAATTCTGGGGTAGCACGGCTATTAGACGACCGCTTCCTTTCAAATCCTTTCCAATTCATCAGTTATCCAGTCATCCATCGATATGCATATATTCTCGATATTAAAGCGTCATTAAAAATTCAGTAGAAGTATCTATAATTATATGTATATATTTATTATATTTCTGATGTCTGTAAAGTTGTTCTTTTTTTGTCCTTGCCCGTTTCTGGAGCTTGTTTGTTCAGAAATGCACAGACCTGCACAGCAGTGCAGCACTGGGTCAGTTTTCTGGGTGTTACGATTTGACGAAAAGTAAATATGTAATGTCCTTATCGGAAGAATCCTATGTTCAGGGGGGTGTCTAATGCACGTCCACTGTTGTCGCAGGACACGTATGGCCACTACGCCGAGCTGCTGCATAAGATCGACAGGCTTCCGCGCTGCGACATAGAGCTGCCAGAGGACCTCAGGTCGCAACGTGACTTCATGGACTTCGTGTGCCGCAGCTTCGCTACGAGGCTCGAGAGGCGTCGCAACGTACTCATCACATCGCTTAGATTCTTTCGCCTTGTTTCAGAGGTTAGTTCTGAACAGAAATATTGGCGGAATGATATGAGACGACCCGGAGCCAGCTCCAGTTTTCACTCAGGGAGCGGTTTGCTCTGGCGATAACACTTGTATTCGGGAGGTACTGTCAAATTCCACTCGGAATTCCGTTTACCTAAGTGAGGTTATTCGTGGTCTTCATAGTCTTAAGTCTCGTACACCGTTCAGTAATGTGAGCTTATCCACGGAGATCCTCCCAGAGAAGAAACTGGAAGTCGTGCATAAAAAAAACCTCCATGGCCTGTATTCCCCAAGCGAACTATACCGACCGCGCGACTGCGGCTTGTCGGCGAAGTTAGTGCCAACTTTGGCCGCGCCATAACTCAAGCGGTTAGTCGCTGGCTTCCCACCGGGGAGAGAGCCCCCGGTACCCGTTGAATAGGAGGCTGGGTGGGCCCCAGGGCCGGTTTAGACGATATGGAGAAGAAAAAATTCTGAACCTACCGGGACTCAAATTCTGACCCCTCGGTTGTCCAGCCAGTCGCTATACCGACTGCGTTACTCCGGCCCACCCTGTGAGAACTATACAGTAGCATTAGCTGTTATGGGTACGGTATACTGCCCCCACAATTAGCATATTGGTAAGCCGTATCGCATTTTACTATTGTTTGGGATGTGGGCTTACACGTTTCGTCTCTCCGGCAGACCACGTTCGGTTCTTGCTAATGTTTTCTTCAACCCCCCCCCCCATTCCAAGCAAATGCTTTCATAATGCCTTGAAACGACGCATTAGTGTCCATTCTTTTTCATTCATCGCCCATAAATTTGTGTTGTTATTCATCATTATATGCAATGAAATCGACACTCCATCTTTCGATAACTATTAAATTTAATTTATATTTCAATTTTGTAAATCGACTTTAATTGTGAGATAATAATTGTTACTGCAGTAAATTTGGTCTTTGTTTACATGCAGTTGAAGTTCACTGTGAAGGTCTGCGAATATGTGTCCTGTATTAAGAGTTTAGTGTTTGATTTCAGTACTTCGACCGAACGAATGAAGTGTTTGAATCCTTGTTGAAATGCGACGATGTGGAAAATTTGGAGTCGGCTGACGCGATGTTAGTAGAACTGCAAGAGAGTCACATAAATATAGGTAAGTAGCTGCCTTAAATAGCCTTACATATAACGGTTCTTGAACCAGTTTCTGTGTGTTCATTGCACTATATACGAGTACATATACAATTATAAAATGTATGCATAGTGTAATAATTCTAGCACATTCCGTCTCTTATTGCCTTGTTATTTTCAATTCGTATGAAATCAGTCAGGTGTTCTTGAGGTGTCCTTTGACGCAGCATGACTCGTTTTTAATTATTCCAGAAACTTTGATATTTGCAAGGAAAAAATATACTCGTCATAGGATCTACTTTTCAGATTTATCGATAGGTTTATTCTTCAGAAAATTTTGCGCGCAATAAATACTCGTATTTAACTTGTTACAGTCAAGATGTGTTTAGAGACGTCCGTAAGTTTCTATCTAAAGTGCCAGTTTCTTTCGTCCGACTTTAAAAAAAGAGTTGCAGTATATATACAACTTTTAGTAGTACGTTCCAATATGAAACTTTATGAACGTTCATTGAGAAGTTCCCCGTATGTTAGTTAGTTATTTAGAGAGGGTGGGTTTCCCCATGCACCGCGACCAGTTTGATCTATTGTGCTTCCCTCTATGATATTCTTCCAGTCTCTTTACCCTACCGATAAATGGTGCGTACCATCAGTCCCGCCGAGCAACCGAGTTCGGCCACTTGCTTAGCGGTGTCTATAATGCTTCCCCCATCTATCAGAGGCCTTAGAGACTATTGTTGGGCCGGAAACGTCCTGGAATTTGGCTCAGTGATCCCCTTTGGGGATATGAGGTTCTTTTACGTGCCTTAAAGTTACGACACGGGACACACGGCTTAAAGTCCCTCCCGGAGGACTTGTTCCCTGAATTTTTCCGCCCTTAAAAATTCGACGACCTCCGCCGGCTATTTGAACCCGCGTACCACGAGTCATGAGGTGGGAACGTTACCTCTAGACTACGGAGGCCGCTTTCCCCGTATGTTACATACGGCTAAACAGATGAACGGATATGCCGAACCTAATGGGCCTTTTTATTTCTTATTTTTTTGCAACTTTAATTTCACACGCGCGAAAGAGGTTTTGTTAAAGGGGGATCACTTCTCGTGGGATATCAGCATGTTTCATCTAAAAAAAATATGTAATTGACTTCGACACAATTTTGCATCGGAAGTGTATACCAAAACAAACGGATGCAGTGGGGATCCATCAAGGGTAACAAAGTAAGAATTTTTGTGAGGAATGCCAGGGCCTGGAATCCAACATTATGCTGAAGGTTCAATTTCTCGACCAACCCTGTCTTTGTTACCCTCTTATCATTGGAAGCAAACAGGAAATGATGCCCCATACCAGAAACTGTTGTATTAAGTTGCAAAAGGACAAAGACCACTAGGAAGACCCAGGCGTAAATGGGATGATAATATTCAAATGGGTCTTAGATAAATAGGATTGGGGGTTTGGATTGGATTCATCCTAGCTCAGGATAGATACCAGTGGCGGGATCTTTTTAACATGATAATGAACCATCGGGTTCTATAAAATTTTGGGAAATTCTTGTGTAGCTGAACGACTGTTGGTTAGTTAGCTAGTTAGTTCAAATTTGTTCATACTACAAAATATTCATTGTATGAGTATTTTAATACATATTGACCATTCGAAGAGCATTTCAGATGCAAATGTATGATCTCACTGACATATGTATTTTATCTTCTGTACTTTTCCAAGCTGAAGAGTTTCTGGAAAATCTTTCGAGCTTCGCGTAATGTACAATCGTCAAGAACATTTTGTTGGATTGTTATTCAAGCTAGCGTTGATAGCCAATACTGAATTTTATCGAAATTCCTTCAGCAATTTTGGGGAAGAACCTTGTGGATATTTACGACGTCCCAAATGCCCGTTAATTTATGCGCCTTTTCTCCAAAAAGTTAATTTTGAGCAAGTGTCCATGCTACACCGAGATCACTGCATAGCGCTGTATTGCAACCGCCCATGTGCTGAACAGAGCTCCTGGGGCGGGAGGTGATGAAGGAAGGAGAAAAGCTGGCGGACATCCTGTCAATGCCTGTGAAGGACGCGTTGGGTCGCGGCGTGGAGGTGAACTACGAGAGTGATATCGCCAACGTGCTGGAACTGCTGGACGCCACGACGGCCCGGAAGAACATCTTCTGCGACAGTGTGGAGGTGCACAAGTTGACCCTGGCCCAAGTGTCGCATATCCGGGCCTATGAGAGGGACGCGGCGCAAGCTGTGCAATGGCTCGACGACTTGTTCCAGGTCAGCAGGTATTTACGTCACTAACGCCTGCGCCAGCGCTCAGTGCGCATGCTGGCATAACGCACATAAAAAGGGGGCCTTCTCGGCAATTTGTTTCAAGTTTTCAGTATTCTATGAGAGCTCAACAGCCTTGCTATGTCCGTCTGTCTGTACACATGTAATATTTTGGTTGAATGCATATTGATAAAAACATGGGCCCTATCCCATGTGATTATAAGGGTGAAGCAAGTGGGGGGGGCTACCCGGTAGCGTAGCTGGTTGAAGCACTACGCTAGAAGCCGGAAGATCGCGAGTTTGATTCCCCAATGAGGTCATTCAATTTTTCAAATGACCCAATCCTTTCAGCCGCACTATGGTCCTGGAGTTGACTCAACCTCTCACAGAAATGAGTAACAGGAATCGGTAAAGAGCGGCCCGGCGCGTAAGGCTGACAGCCTCGCCGCCATCTATGAGCCGATTGTCTAGAAAATGTAAGAACCTCGGCGTCTCACAACCCTATGGGCCTCCGTGGCCTACTAGGGATATATTTACCTTTTTACACAACGAATAACATCGTGATTTCTACTGGAGGAGCCGGGATAGCGCACTCGGTATAGCGACTGGCTACGGGGTGAATGAACGAGGGGTGGAGGTTCGAGTCCCGGTGGAGTCAAGAATTTTCTCTATTTCACGTCATCCAGACCGGCACTGCGGTCCACCAACTTCCTATCCAATGTGTTCTGGGCGCTCTTTCCCCGGTGGTAAAGCTGCCGGGGCGTGAGGCTGACCTCTCACATCCAGCTAGTGCCGACGAGTACAGTTTACTAACCCATTAACTGTCCCTTGGGTCACTCTATATATGTAAAAGTTTGTTATGGGAAATTTATTGAAATTTGCCCAATCTGAAGACCAAGAAGGATGCCGTAATCTTAGCGAAAGAGGTTTGGAGGAAGGAAAGTAGAAAGTAAATTTCCGATCCGATCCAGTGTTCTTCTTTGGTCTTAGCAGTGCTGACTGTGCCAGGAATGCCTCATTCAGCTCTTCATGGTTTGTTTACTGACACTTGCAGTCACTCAGATCACGAATGACATAGGACGATGGGATGAGTGGTTAATAATAAGTTGGAAATGGTCGTGGCCTAATTTGTGGTACTATACCGGCAGCTGCTTGGAGGGACTGATGAAAATCACGGAAAACTTTAGTTAAGATATCCGATCCTCAGACCGAGATTTGAACCCAGGGCAACCACAGTATGAAACAGGACCGGTACACATTCGATTCCCAGATCAATTAGCAGAGAATTTTTGTTTCGATATATTGAAAATATTCTTTCAATTACATATGACTCCAACCCTACTCGGACAACATGAATTACTACGTTTGCATTCACTTTCTGGTGATGATGGTGCATGAAAATATCGGTTCTTAGTATTTCATCTGCGCGGAAAAGTACGATTTGAGACTGTCACAGCGAAGGTCATGAACAGTTCTGTCTCCTAAAATATAAAGTCATGTAGTCCGTTGAAAGTCAACCGGCATTCGGAGGAACATATCGCCTCCATTTTCAGGGTAGAAAAATAAGCTTGGTCAGCCCTGCTTTTTACCATACTATTTTATTTATTAGCTCATTCTTCGCCCCTGAAGATGGAGGTGATATGTTCCTCCGAAATGTCCTTTGAATGTCAACGGAGTACTCGGCGTTATATCCCAGAAGACAGAACTCTGCACGGCAAAATTTTTCACATCCTCAAAAGCCAGGTTGTGAGGGGGTAAGAATGCAGAGCTGTAACAGTTCAATACAGAAGGGCCCAAAAAAATGTATTCACATTTTAATAGAGGTTATCTACCGCCATTTTCAAAATTTAACGCTAATATACTGTACGGTATGTAGTGTGATATTCTCTCAGAAGATGGTACTAGTCACATAAATGCCGGAGTTACCGTCTTGAATGTCAGGCCCCTCACAGCCCAATGGCGCCTGCATTTGTCATGTTGCTGTGTTTATTGTAGGTGATGCTGAAGGCACACGTGCACGTGGGCTGTAACGTTTACGAAATACAGTCGCAGAAAGAGGAGCACCAGTCCTTCCAGGAGACAGCCAAGGTAAGGGACTTCTGTCCGTACAAGAGACAGTTTAACCTCCATACATTCCGTGTCCGTTGCGTAGGAAAGTAGTGAAGTGTGGAAGTAGGATGCTGCTCAGTTAATTCACAATATTATGGCATATTTCGTTCTAATATTATTAGCCTATTTTCCTTATTTTGAAAATAAATAAAAGTAGGCTCCCTGCTTTCTGTGTGTCTGTATGTGTTTCTCTGTGTGTGTCAGGCCTATAAACTTTTGAAAGCCTGAACCAATCCTTACGAAACTTGGTACATATATCATCATCGTACCAGATCCCATCTCAACGGCTTACTCCCATCAGTCTTTGTGTCTGTATACCTGTTCCTCCCTATCGTTACTAGGCAGTGGCTCGGTAAACACGTTTCCACGGGAACGAATACGCGCAACAATATTAGAATTGCTGGCCGCGTCGTTTTCTATGTGATCCATATTTTATCAAAGGAACGTAGGCGATTAATTCTTCCCAGAACTTCCTGAAATTAATGACAACTGTATGCTTACTTAATTCACGATGTGTATAGGATACATACAATACAATTGCTATCAAAAAGTTCCCGAAATTTGAATTTTGCGCGCGAATGGTTATGAGTACATCGAAATACCCCTAGGTGACTCCCCACACAGCCTTCTTGAATCAGTGTGGCAAGCGGCGTCAAGTTGAGTGGTTGGGTTTATTGTTGGTGAACGTATTTCCATTGTTGTGTTTCCATGATACACCCGTCCTCACACGCTTCACTTCACGCGGTGTATGCCTCGACTAAATTCAGCGGAATGAGTCTTACATCCCAGGGGTACACGGATGTTGGCTCGCTTACGTCGTTTTTTTTTTTTT